AGCCCTGGCAAATATTGACCCTCGGTTGTTTTTCAGGGCCATGCTGTACTCTATCCATACTGCCACAACCTTGGGGCAATATTCCCAGTAAGGCCCATGCACTTGGTTAGTAAGTCTAAGAGGTTAATATTGCAATTAAAAATTAATATGAATGATTGTATTAAGTGAAAAATGCACTACTTGATTATCTTACTTTGTTTCTTTGTCCTCCATAGCAAAAGCTCTCACTGTTCGCGCATTTCCCAGTGCCTCATCAGCCACAGCAGTTGCTTTGGCAACCTGTGCTTGAGCTGCCCTGGAAAGCCTCCTTAACAGTGACCCAAACAAAGTGCCGCCAATGATGACAGTCGGTAACACAACCATCATCATAAGAGTGAGTTTAGGTGAAATCATGTAGAGTGACACCACGCAACCAATCGTCTGTGTTGTGCTGCGCAAGCCTTGAGAAATGACCTGCTTGAATGCACTCTTGAAATCCTGGATGTCAGCTGTCAATCTTTAAGAGCAAATATATGCTATGTTTAATCAAGAATAAACTTAAATCCTGAAACATTATTGTAACTCTTAATACACTTGTAAGTAAGAATGATAAGCATTTCATTTTGGGCAAGTCTAAGCAACAGACCAGTAAAGGTTACACAGGGACAAATGTACATTGTATGAACAATCCATCAACCTGTGCTTCTTCTGCAAAATTATTAACTAGGGTTAGAAATAATAAAGTAATTTTCAATTATTTCATGATGCCATACTGCTAGTTATCAGTCGATGAGGTAAACTGGTTATACATCAACTGTAAAGCATGATGTTTTGATGTGATTGGTTGATTTTCCACAGCTAAGATTGGCTCATGACTTAATAGAGTGTATTAACTATTATATATAAGTGCTATATAAGTTCTCATGAGAAATTTCATCAGGTGCATGTGGGTTCATGGATCTTCATGTTTTTTTTTTTGTACAAACTCATGTTTGTATCCAACTGAAAAATTAAAAACAGTTACATGCAGTCTGAGGTTCCCTGCTGTCTGTATTCAAATTATAAAGTGTTAGGAAATCTTGACCCTGACTGCCGAAAGCTCAAGAACCGTAACTTACCTGTTAACTAGTTCTCCAGTTTTATGACTATCAAAGAAAGCAATGTCTTGTCGTATCAATGACGCAAATAAAGCATTACGCATTCTTTCTGCCAACCTCTCACCAAGGCATGAAAGAAATGAAATGTAACAGAATGTAAGAACTGCTTGAGCTCCGTAAATTGATATCAGTTTCACAGCAGGCTCTCTTAATACTTGAAAAAAATCATTATTGTGAGCTCCACCTGTTAAACTTGAAACTGCATTTACCAGGTTTCCTAGCAACAGTGGCAATTCAATGTTCACCATGGCAACTGCAAAAGCACTCAAACCTGCCAACAATAGCAGCCATAAATCTGGCCATAGGAACTTCCAGAATTCTCTGAAGTCAAATTTTGGCTGTTTTTTCTCTCCTTCTTTGCCTTTCTTCTCTACGTGGTGTGAAGATGATTTGTGGCTTAACTTCAAGCCACAGTGTGCGCTGGAGATCTTTGATCTGACAACTAGTGCTCCAACAGCTAAAAGTCCTGTATATTTAAGAAATGACCAGTGCCTGGCTGAACATTTTGGGTTCTGTTCTAAAAATTTCCAGATGTGCAAAGTTCTTAATCTAGTGCCAAAGTTGTTTGTAGTATTCTTTGCTAAGAGTTTTGAAATTGGTTGTCCTCTGGTGATTGCTGTCCTGTAACTGCTACAAAATAAAAGAAATGTATGTCAATCATAAATAAAAATGTAATTACAATGTACCAAATTAAAGAAAGTATGTAATGCAGATTATCACGAGTAGGAACCAAGCTCGGGAAAGGACATTTCTTACACAATGTAGCTTGAACCACAATCATAAAAAAATTGCCATTATCAGTCTGTGTAAATTTACACAGACAGCACTGCAGTCATCACTGTTTGTGACTGCAAACCATTTTTCCACCTCTATATTGCTGAAAGAACAACAGGTTAAAAAATGGCAAGCAAAGGTCTGTGGTCTACATTTTAAACTTTTATGCTTCCCTGATCCACAGGGGACCAGCAGATCCAGGCTGTGAGTTAGCAAAGATCATATTGTACAATGCCCTAGAGTATTTACATGTTTTAGAAGATGCAAATTATTATAGAATCCTAAACAGAAAACCCTTCCTTCACCCCTCCCCCTGGCCCCCTTCCCTCCATTGTGTATTTCCTGCTGTCAGTACCCTTGCTGATTTGAGGTGATTTTAGCAAAATGGAGTGGATAACCTATGCAGCTAAACTCCCCAAAAATGATAAATATAAAAATGTTACACTGGTTTAGAAAAGCTATTATAATCTTTAAAAACCCAAAATGTCCCAAAATTACCTAATTTGGTGCTAAGGCAGTAACCAATACCCAATGGAAGTAAGGTAGAGCATTCCTATAAAAATTTCTTGTATTCTCATTCTCTTAAAACGTCTTGTAGATATCTCCCTGCTATTGATCAATTCAACAAACTGAAATGAATTTAGTCATAACGTTGTCAAAGTAGCTGTGGATCCACGAGGCGATAGCTGAGTGGATCCGCAGTCTACTTTGACAATGTTATGATGAAATTCATTGTCAATAACAGGACAGTTGCATTAAAAACTGACTTCAATTTGTTTTTTACAATAACAAATTATTAAATTGTCCACCCTCGCTCGCTGACGCATCATTTAAATTATAAATTCATGTGTCTGTCCACTTATTGACAATAAAAATTAGCCAATGAGGGCGCGAGAATTTCTGCACTTATTTAAAAAATGATCTTTGCGCATTCACAGCTTGAGCTTGGGTATTAAGCTAATGTGATGGAATCAATGTCTGTAAGATCACTGAAGACAAATAACTGGCACTCTTTACAGAAATGTATGAATTTGTTTGTTAACTTGAAAGTTTCTGCTTTCCTATTGAATTCACTCTTCGGCATCAAAATGCGCACAACTACACACAATTGCAAATCTACCTTACCGGTAAAATCAAAATGTAAAAAAAAAAAGATTAAATATCAAATTATAATCCATAAACATAAGTACAAGACGCCTTTGATAACATATTTTTCATCTAAAGTAGTTAGCAAAGAAATTTAATCATTAAAGGGTACCAAACTGAAAAAAGGTATCCCAAACCAGACTTGAATGGTCACTGGCGCCACAAAATGATTGGTCCGGAGAAAACGCCGGGACGTGAAAATGATAGCTAAAACATAATTTTTTTTTTTTTTTTTTTGCATACCTGCTAATTGAAGTAATTCTTGGAAAGCCAGAGAAAACATGACTCCGTAAATGAGATGTGCACAATTTTGAGGTCAAGAAAGGATACATCTCGCCTACGAGAAGCCAGCTACAGTTTCTACAACGATTCGTCCGCCATTTTGGTTTGGAGCAGCAACTCGCTCCAGGCTTGCTCCAGGCTGCACGAGTAAAACGTTGGAAAGCCTGGCGGTTTTGGCCTTGGATACTTCCCCCCAAAAAAACACTGTGCAGAAAAAAATTGCGGGAAAGTTATTTATCCACAGCGATCAATTCAGAAAAAAAGTCTGCATCAAGGAGTAGAAAAGCTACGTTCTTGATATGTCAGCGAGCTTGAGTTGCTTGCCGTAAAAAGACATTCATGCGTGGAACTGCTTTGAATTCAGCACGCATTTCCTTGGGAGGTTTGTGAAGGCCTGTCGTTTAACATGATTATTATCAGCCATCACCCAGCTACCAAACACGTGATTGTTCTGTGGGGAATTTAAAAAGCGATACCACTGAAAGTTCAATCCATCCAGGTTTACTTGGCTTCGATCCGATCCACTAGCAATTTTGTTCAATCCAGATTTTGAGGCGTGTTTAAAACAAGAAATGGCGAAATGACGATATGCCACAAACTTCACAATTATTGACAGCTAACCACTGTCGAGTCAGTGATAATAATTAGGCTAAACTGAACACTACTTAGGCTAACCATAGTGCCATTTCGTGTTTTAAACACTCCCTAGATTTTAGTAATTCTATCGATCCGGTCCAATCTGGGTTAACTCGACAGCCATGCACACGCAACAGTTTAAAGATAAGCTAGCCCTCTTTGAAATTTTAGAAGCAGAAACTGTCTTGCATGGTACCGTCAGATGAGGAAAAGAGGCCTCTAAATGCGAGCATCCGAATCACCCTTTAAAAGCTACTTGTAAGTCAAGGGAAATTTGGTTTTTCTTAACTCATTTTTTTCCTCAGTCAGCAGGACCCAAATCGTTAAGGAAACGTGTCCGTGTTTTGCCACTAGTTGCAGAAGATTTTCGAAATAGGATTAACAAAATATGAAGTGATCGTACAAAAATCGCTCCCGGAGGAAAAAAAAAAGCACATATCGAAAAATGAAATTCGCAGGCACGTTGTCGCTGTTAGTATAACAAACTAGCTAGCTACTACTGTCCATTTGAGGGCAAACGGACAAATATACCATATTCGTATTCTCGGTATTGGACTGGAACTAGCTTGTAACTGAGACTAACAGCGGCGAGTCTTTTCAAATGCAAATGACATAAATCTCCTTTTAATGATATCCTCCCGAATGAGCCTCCATTTTCCAGCGCAATAAGAGAATTCGACGAATACGGCCTATTCCTTTTGAATTACAGCTTTTAAAAGGTGATCCGGACACTCACATTTAGAAGTCGTGAAAAATGCAGCAATTCATTTTATTTCAAAATTCTTGGTATAGTTTGGTAACCAGCTCTATAAGCTTTAATTTGATATGGGGATTTAACCTGATCAACAATTCAAACCTGACGCGCTACATCGCTTGGACACGAGTCACCTGTAACGATATATGGTAACCTCAAGACTCTAGCAGTAATCAAAGATTATGAGAGTGGGTTCGACGCTTTACCATCAGTGTAGGGTTTTTTTAATCACGTTTTCCTGAGTTTTTAGAGGCAGGTCTTTTCTCTTTCTTCCTCCGTCTAAATTTGCACGACACCAATGGTTAATGACGTTAATTATGATTTAATTATATCTATTATCATTATTCAAAACTTGCTATCTCTTGATCGGCCAAGGGTCATCACTGGATAAGTTTGAAGTTGACTTCACGTTGTTCATGTTTGGTCTGTCAAATCATTAGCAAACAGTAATACACTGAAACCAGATTGTAAAAGATCACGTTGCAACTTGTAGCATAAAATGCTTACCTAATGAGCACGTGCGCCAAATCACGAGCACGAATTTCAAATGAACTCAACGTCACTAATATTCTGTTACTACATGATCTATTTATAACTTAGCTGACCCAAGATGCTTCTCATACTGAGTGTTTATTATCACCTTTTATATCGGTATTACAACCATTGCCACTGATTGTTGTCAAGGGGGCGATGAGAAAAATATTGTTATTGGGAAACTTAAATCATATATACAATTTTGGCTCTCATCTCTCTTTGAAAACTTGCGGAATTATTGAATTACTTGCTGCCCCTAGCTGCACGTTTGCGCGGTTTTTTGCGACTCGGTTGTTCTCATAGTTTTCTAGTTTCATGCCGAGCCTATTTAGAAATTTCGAAAAACTTAACAACATTTTGTTACGATCGATTAACTTTCAAAGTGCCTTTAAATTTAGAAAGTAACTTATAATTGCTAGAGTTGAATGCCAACAATGCCCCTTCGGACGCGGTTAATATCAATATGGTTTTCATGGCCTCAAAACCACATAGAAATCGATAGGTTTTCAAAGTGTTTCTAAAGCGGCGTAGCTTCGGGTACTTCAAACACTTTCGAGACGTACCCGACGTCCTCCAAGTTTGTAAACCAACGGTTTATCTTTTGAAAGCTTTATGAAAATCGACGGACTTGATTTATTACCGGTTTTGATCGACGTCATGTTGTCGAAAGACGTGAACCGCATTGAAAAATATGTACGATGCGCTTTACGCAAATAGCGACAGCGGACTGTTCGGCGTATTTTGTCAAAAACCAATGACGCCCAATTAACACGGTCCACAAAATGAAATTGCTTAACGACCATTTTAATTACCACCTATTGAAATTTTATCAAACAGTGTCAAATCATTCACACTCATATTTGATCACTGATTCGATTTGATGATAACCCATCAGGCTCTAGGGCAATCCAAAATGTTACTTGGCTGAAAATGTTCGTTTTCCTTCTTGATATTCGTCATGTTTTCCTTCATTATTCTTTGATAGAGAAGATGATTTTTGAAAGTCACCCAAATATTTGAGACGATTAGTATTGATTAGGAAAGAAAAAAGTGAACTAGATGAGTAAGGCCCCTCGGCTAGCCTGCGTAGCTGAAACGACTCTTTCGTTTCAATTCTTGAGTGCTTCCCCAAGATCTGTAAAATTTCTCAACAATGTGGAATAACTAAGTCTTTTAGGTCCGAGCAAAAGGCTATTTTGCAGTATTTTGTGCTGGTACTAAACCGACGCTCCATCCACTCTGTATGTTGAGTAGACCTTTCTTCAGAGTACAATACAACACACTCTGTATATGGCACCATATTAAACGATTCCTGCTGATTCTCTACGGCTGTAAATGGCGAAGTATATCAACAAGATTGTCCAGAAATGTTTTATTAATTTAAGGAAAAATGGTCGTCTATGTGCTTTTGTAAGGAGACTACCTCGATAAAGTGAAATATTTGGTACATAGAAGGAGTCAATATACATTACAGACAGAAGCCGTGATAGTGCCAAATTGGCACAGAACGAACTCGAAATTTGAAGACGGCCTTTACACTCCCGCGGCCGACCACTGGTCTCTTGTCGGTCCGAATCACCCCGAAATCGAATACTGCCGACCACGCTTACAGACGTACAAATACTTATGCGTTGATTAATTCGGTGCCGGTTATAGGTAAATATGGTTTACTCTTTAACACCCGCCAACACTGAAGGATTATACATACCAGAATATTGAACAAGATTTGAAAATTTTACGAAAACCAGGAAAAGAATGGATATAAACTTTTTAGCATGTTTAGGCCTCATTCAAGCTTACAACTGCATTTGTTCCCAAATCCCGGAAGTCAGGGAACTTTTACTCGGACTTTTGAGTAGAAATGCGCGCACAGCTTCTAAATTGAACTCTTGCCCGGTTTCAGACCAAAATTGTGCCTTGCGTGCTGTAGCATCTCGGTATAATAAATAAGGTCCAAGATTGACCCGATTATACGTAGATGTTACAATACTATTTCCATAGTCCGTGTTGTTGCCCTTTCCGAAGCCATGATACTTAAACAAGAATCAGTACTGTCGGCAAGGTATAACTAAACAGGTTTCCTCGAAAATAGTGCAATTTAAGACCCGGGACGTCGATCATAAACCCGTCGATCATAAACCAGTCTCAATTTTCAAATCATCATCGTCATGTAATTGAAGACAGTTTGTTTGGTTTCTTCTGAAACCTGCTCAAGGAGACTTAGACTGCTCAAGGAAGTGGGTGGAAGAGTAATCTTTCTCCCTCCGACCTCCTCTTCGTATGAAATAAACGCCCTGAAACCACCGAAACGTTTACGACACGAATTGTTTCCTGTAGATCAAACTTAACCTATTTTTGCATAGGAAGTGGTAGATTTAATTATGCGAAACCTGAAACCTACTCCATGTTTTTATATGCTGAAGCTTAGGACTCAGCGTCTTGTAGACTAGCACACGGTAGGGCTAACCCTGCAAAAGCTGCACCACATCTTCTGGGCTTCTGAACTTACCATTAGAACATTCATTAAAACAAAAGAATCCCATAGACAATGGTGCCAGCTTGATTCTAGAGAGTATCCCCGCGCTTTAGCAAACCTGAAACAAATGAAAAACAAGAGGAGATAACGGACAAATCTTGATGTCTCAGCTAATTAACTAGTGAAGCAATTAACTGAACTTTAACCACGGAAATATCACACATAGCGGAATACAGTATAGCGAACCAAGCGAATTAGTTAAACCGAAGAGACACGCCTTGACAGACCAACACCCGATTTACGTGCGATTGCTCGTGTCTTCCGCCGTGCAGTGGTTTCCGTGCGTCGCAAATAGTATCAGTTTAAAACTGCAAAAAATGGTAGAACATTCTCGTATAAAAACTCGGCTTTAATCTTTGTAACCAACTTCCGTTACATGATACCGACAGTAAAATTTAAAACAGAAAGAAATTGCTCCTGTTTGCATTATGTCACTCTCATTTCAGTCGCGGTATACTATTAAAAGCGGTGAAATAACCTTAAAATTTTAGGCAGATCTTTTGACTGAGAAAGATATTGCGTACCTCTCGTGGCGCGCCGCGAATAGTGTACACTACACAATCTCATTCGTTCTTTTTAAAGATATGTAAAAGCTTTTAAATTAACATCCCATTAATAGAATTTGTTAAGTAACGGCGGCATCTTTTTGTCAGCAAAACAGTAGATGGCCGCAGTAGTCTTGGACAACAAATCCAGTGACAGGAACTATCTTTGACACGTACGCGTGTCCTTCAACGCAGTTATCAGGACGAGAGAAATTGTACTGTTAAATATTTTCTCTATCATCTTCTTGATACGCCACAATATTTCAGTTTCAGAGGACTTTAACACTCTAGTCTTAAGAAACAAGGGGTCTTCTTGCAGGAGCGTTTAAGAGAATTTTAAGTACGGCCATCTAGCAGGGAGGGAGAAGGGACTCTTAATTGATACCAAGTCAACTGTACGTTCATTTCTTTTCTCTGGAGTTTCCCATTTAAAACACGCCACATGGCATTCTTCGCTTGAGATCGATAATTTACCAGTGCGTTCTGTTTGTCTTTAAGGATGACTTCAGTCTTTTTTTTTTAATGTAAATACGACTAACTGCCATGTTGTTGGCGGCTAGAAATTAAAATAATGCTGGTTTAGCTTAAACTATGTGAAGTCAACTGACTTTACAACTCTTTGCGATATCAGGACTTCAAAAACTTCGATATTTCGAAATTAGCCACTTATTTCGAAATTCGAAGGACTTCGACATTAAATTTCAATCGTTAGCATGATGCAATTGTTGCTAACTCCCTTACAATGTTGCCGCTCTGTTCAATTCAGGTCCCCGTCCACACATATCCGGATATTTTTCAATCCGCAACTTTTTCTTTCCGAATTCAAGATTTCTCCGTCCACACGTAGCAAAAATATCCGGATTCGCTGCCGAATTCGCCGGATGCGTGTGGACGGAAGCCGTATCCGGAAAGAAAAAGTTGCGGATTCAAAAATATCCGGATACGTGTGGACGGGACCTCAAAAAGAATCCACCGCAAATTTCTTGGGTTTCTTGATCTGTCTTAAACTGGTCCATGCAGGGGACTCACGCTCTTGGAGTGACTTTTTTCGTCGCAGTAGAACTAAAAGCTAAATCGAGCTGAATACCGCAAATTTTGCAAGGATATTATTGTTAAGCTTTCTTATCAACTTAGTAAATAGTGAGCTGTTAAGGGATGAAAACAAGTCGAGAAAATGCTGGGGAAGGTACGCGGCCAGATTTTAAAGTCATTTCAGTTTTTTTTTTTACTTTGTAAACTAAATCAGCTCTGTACTAGACTCACAGCGGTTGTGGCCACGCTATGATGACGATCAATTAGATCTACTGAGCAAGACTGCAAATAAGAATGAACCACGTTACGAAAAACATCGTGCTTTGCCTGTTGACTTAATCAGGGATGTGTTCTGCCATGGTGCACTTCCAGAGACCGATAGTGTTTGTGAAATACACACTACGCCGGAGGAATTTGAAAGTGGAGGTTTTACCCTGAAAAAGCATCAAATACTTTCCGTCCACACTAGGCCGGAGGAATTTAAAAACGCAACTGAATCACCGGTGATTTTTTGTTTGACGAAACCTCGGGCAGGGAAATCACACGATTATGGTGACTACACTGTTTTCGAAAATCTCCGTTTTCAACCGGTCCAGACGAAACGCAAAGCCATTGTTTTCAAATTCCTCCGGTTTGAAGTGCGTTTTCGAAAAGCTCACTTTTCGTGACGGATTAGTGTGGACGGTAGGCCTAACCGTAGAAATAAAGCTGCGTTTTCAAATTTCTTCGGCGTAGTGTGAACGCTGCCTAAACCTTAGCTTCAATGGACGACTGAATTTCATTTTGTCAAATTAAACTGAAAAACAAACAGCGGCAAACTAAAATAAACATGTTCAAGGGTAAGCTTTAACACAGTAGGATTTGAAATAGGATTGGAATTAGTTGGGATTTATCACACAGAACAGGAATATATGTACTGACTTAAAACTGAAAACGACACACTTGCACTGAATGACTCACCGGACGTTGATTGAGAAGTGGGAGTAAAACAGTAAGGTAAGATTTAGAGGAGGAGAGAGCGCAAAGGAAGCTATAAAGGAGAAATGAGACATCGAAAGATTACTCAGCAGTGAATAACTCATTTCTTGTGCCATGGGTCAAATTTAACGTTTGCCCAAACTGGATGACTTTTGAAGAGCTTTCAAAGTCATTTAAAAGTAGTCGCTTTTGCTGCAGTTTATTTCCAATCTACACTATCATTTTATTAAGACGAGGGCCTGGTGAGCTATTGCTTGAATACGTTTTAAAAAGGGGTAGCTGATAACGTCGTTTTTCTGTCAACCGCAACAAGCCGACTACTCTGCGAGACAGCCAGAGATTCCCTTAAGTGAAGGGAATCCCTGTATCGCAGAGCACCAGCCGAGTGAAATTAGACTACAGTACTTTTTCGTATACTTTATGGAAACTGATGAACGAAGCATCTCTCTCTCGAAAGCAACTTGCGCGAGTGTTCCTTTGGTGTTATATAAAGTTTTAATCTGGATATTCTTTGTTTGCGAATGCCTCGCAGTATCCTTTGAAGGGATTTCAAGACATTCCTGCTCTAAGCTTTCAGCATTAGGGAATAGTTTCGATTCGTGATAAAGCTAAAAAAGAAATCCGCTTCTCGCCTATTGACTATCAGTCGATCGAGTTTCGGTAAACAACCAATTGTTTACAAGAATTTTCAGTCTGAGTTGCTAATTAATTGAAAATCGTGTGAATTTCACCTACAGTGCACTCTTAATTGGATGCCTTATCCAGTTCCTGTAAAGTTCATTTTTTTGGCCCAAGCGCAAGCAGTTTTGAATCATCTTGGTCAACAGATCTCCAAAAATGACCTGATTAAGAGCAATCCTTGCCTTGCATCGCTTTTGCGGTGTCTAGGCATCTCGGCAATATGGCTAGACTCAGCCGCTATTCCAAGCACGCCCCCATGATAAATTTGCAATTGGTGTAACGAAGTGAATTATCCTTCTTCCTGTTGTCATGACCCGCGACGTCTGAAGAACTATTTGCATTCTTTCCTTGGCGCCCCCGGATTTGATTATTTTGGGCTCAATCGGAATTCACGCTTTCCAATAAGAACTTCCAACGTCGTGTTTTTGAACAATCGACTTCGTTCAGTACACGTCCCGATGTTTCCCGACTCGTTCAGTCACGGCTCGGAAAATGAGCGTTCGTGTGCATGATACACGCAGTTTGACTAACGTTACGCAACAGTCGAAAGAAAAGGATTTGTATTGGGAAACGGTTCTATTTTTAAGCCTAAAAAATGTGCGGGTATAAATTCAAATAAACCCGCCTCGCTTGAAGTGTATGTTTCCTTGTTTCCTCGTGAGGTTTTAGGCCGACTTTTGACTTTTATGAAGAATTAATGATCATGAAATCGACCTGGAAACCTCACGAGAAACAAGGAAACACACACCTGAAGCGAGTTGAGTTTATTTTTATTCATAACTCAGTGTTCATAGTTTCTTTAGGCTGAAGAATAGAACTGTTTTTCTCATACAAATCCTTTTCTTTCGACTGTCACTTAATTTCATTACAACGGTATGTACAGGGACGCTCATTTTCCGGTCGGGAGAGCGAGATTTAGGTATTTCTCTTATGAAAATATAACCCGTACTACAGTATGCAATTATTGGTGATTTGCATCAGTCGTTAAATTTAATTTATTGTCCATCAATTGCCATTTGTTCTCAAGTTGGCGACCTAAAGTGTTTGTTTTATGATCAAAATGAAAGAGGCTTCTGAAAACAAAAATCAAAAAGACAGCTTGCTTACAATGATTGATCGGTTCAACAATGGGACTCACATCGGAATACTGAGGTCAAACCATTGCAGCTAACCGCACTATTTTAAGGAAACTTACAATAGAACACTTCCTAATGGAATAAAAGGCTCTTGAAACTCTTAATCAGTATATAGTCCATATTTCATGCAATACCAAAAATAGCTGACTGGTTTTAAGGGGGACATCACTCATATACAATGCAATGTCTATTACCCTCTAGTCTGGTGTCTGCGCGGTATTTGACTACTTGCTCGCACGTACACGTGGTTTCAGTTCTTACAGCCACATGCTTATCTTTACATTCGTACACACGATGCACAGAAAATATCGATTTTTCGCAATCTTCATCCAGTGTCATTGCATGCAGGTATGCAATCGGTAACAAGAGAAAGTAAGGGTCAATTGCTTGTTAAATTGCTTAGAACGGATTCTTTCAGAAATAGCTATAGAAGTGTTTATCCAGGCGAAGTGGAAAAGTTTTGTTCTCTTCGAATGGGTCCGCTTCCTTTGTCTTTTCAGGACCCCCCAAATCAAGGACGTTCTATTTTCAGCGTGCTTGTTTCTCGCGCGCGATGTTTGCCAGCTTCTAAGCCCTTAGAAGAAACAATTCGCAGACTAAATGGTATTAAAGTAGCGTGCAAAAATGTCGCTTTTAATCTAGATTAATTTCCCAGTGACGTCATAAGCCCATTTACACGATTTAACAAACTTGAAGTTAATAAAGATGCCTAAATGGGTAGATTAAAGTATTTATTCTTTTAGGAATGCTTCGCATTTTAGGAAGCACAACCGGAAATTTCACGTCTACTTTAGCTAGAGTATAAAAGTCGTTATTTTTGCTATCCCGTTTGGAGAATCAATCCAGGAAGCGAAAAAAGGAGGCCGCTTATTTCCCGCCATTTAGGATTCGACGAACTGCGAGGAGGAACGAGGGATCCGTTGTCGTTCGCGCCAATTTAAATGCTATATTTAATCATCCAATGTATTGATATCTGGGCCCTTTGAACACTTCCGAATACCTGTACTGCTCGGGAGTTGAAGACAGCGACTTTTCCTGTTGTACTTCAGATTTTTATCTCGACAGATGGCGGACAGCGCCGGAAAGGTTAGGTTGCTTAGTATCGTTGCTTCGTTTACATTGCAGTCGACCTGACTCGCCAATTTCGGAGGCGGCTTCGTAAAGAGTCAGTTACAAACGTTTCATAATCGCGCGGCACACGGCCATGGGCAAGGTCAAATACATCAAATATAGTTGAGTTGTCTTCTAATAACTTTGCACTTCAAACGAAGCGAACCTACAAGGGTTTATCAAAGGTAAACGCCGTCACTTCATATTAGCCGATCACGAAATGGAGTTTTGCCAGGCCAGGGCATCATAACGGTGGTGGACCTGCTTACTTATTAAGGTCAGGAAGTGTAAAATGCCGGTAATCACAGCATGGGAATCAAACAATTGCTTTATTAATTGCTTTGTCCATTAGTCAGTTTAAAAGCCCATCCGAGCTCATCTCAGCCGTCGCGAAAATAATAAACAGTTCTTTAGGCTTACTCTAAATAAGGAGTGGTCAACACTTGACCAATATAAATATATATAGCTCAGGCCCTTTATTAAACGGCACGTACTCTGCTATCATATAGGTTAAGACCAGGCCAGCACAAAGTGCAAGACAGACAACATTGGTTGTTAATTTATCAAACAAGATGCATCTGAGAACTCTGGTTGTGTTTTGCCTCGGCGTCGCTGGCACACTTGCCAGCCGAACCTGTGAGCCGATCAGGATTCCACTTTGTCAAAAGCACTTGCCCTACAACATGACGATGTTTCCAAATGCCCTCGAGCAGCTCTCCCAGCAGTATGCCCGACAAAAGATCGACCTTTTTCGTGCAATCGTCGCTATTAACTGCTCGAAAGAGGCTGGCTTCTTCCTTTGCTCTTATCATTTGCCAATTTGCGCTCCTGAGTTTAAATCCAAGCCAATCCGACCTTGCAGGTCGGTTTGTGAAAAAGTCATGGCGGATTGCTTAGCCACCATTCGCAGATACAAGCGCAAGTGGCCGGAAGACGTCGTTTGCAAAGACCTGCCTTCTTACGAAAGCGACGTCTGCGTAACACCTGCCTCTTTCGTCAAATCTGGTGAGCCAAATAGAGTTTTTATGTTTTATTTTGTTTGCCTGTAGTTGTAAGAATTAGTTACTAAAACCGTTTCGCAGAGATTCTTTAGATAAACTAAGCGTTTTTTTCAAGTAGATAAGTCATTCCCATAACATCACGTTTCCTTGGGATTTGCGATAGCTAATGACCTTTAGCAGCTTTAAACTAGATTCGTGTCTAGGACGATTTTATACGATTTTTTTATTTCAGCATTCAGTCCATCAGAGCTGATCTCGTTAAGAAATACTATCGGTTTGCTTTTACCTAATCAATAATAATAATAATAAAAATTCGCATTTGTCGGTAGCGTGCTAACAGGCACTTAGGTGCAAAGCGGGGGTGCAAGCTAATTCTAAATTGTGACTTTTAACCTCTCATTCGGTAACAGCTATCTTAAAAACTATCTTTCTCGGCTTGTGGGATGTTCAACTGATTTCAAGTCATTACGGAATTGGCAAGCGTTTTAAGATTGTATGGAACTACGAATGAAAGACGCGCCCGCCTAGATATTTAGCGTTGAATTTTTTCTGCACCGCCGAGAGAAGTAATTCTCTTGGGTGTATTTTTTAACTCGATTTAGCGGATAACCAAAAACCTCAATCAATTGGAATCATATACAGTACTTAATCCTGTGTAAAGAGACCAAACTTTCCAATTAGATGACAGGAAATTAAACTCTCCCTTTCCTTAAATTAACTAAAGTGCGAATGAATTTTGCGGTTGTAACCCATTTGTTGTGGATTGCAGTTGATTCACTAAGAGCTGCCAGCTTATTTTTAATCCCAGATTGAATCCGTTTTTCGACATCTGAACTGCGTCCATAAATTTCGTTCACTGTTTGTTAGAATTATCAGTGTTGTACAGTAGAAACGTTTTGCACATACATGGCCTGGATGTTTCTTGTGTTGTTTTTTCCATACTTTTTGCAGTCTTGTCATATCAAATATTGCAGAAATGCATATATGCTGTTTGCCAATCTAAGCATCAAAGCTTATTACTTCAGAGGTAAATTCTTTTGTGCTTGAGTTTCAAAACAGTTTCTTTAAAAGTCCACAAAAGGAAAGGTTAAAGTTAAGGGCTTTCCTAAATATATTTATATATAGAGTCAGCTTGTCAGAATACGGAACTCTGCAGCGCTTTTGTTTCATAAGCTATTGTCGTCAAAGGTAAACAAGATGGCTGTCCAGTTGAAATTGATTTGTGTATAAACGCTAAAATGAATTAAAGCAGAAGTTGAGTTGTCATTGTCTAAGTTGGCGGTAAGATGTACCATTTAGAACAATGAGCTGTATTCCATTAAAAGTCTTTGAGCGGAAGTCACTTCTAAGGAAATTAGATTGGAATGTTGCTGGCAGTTACAGCTAAGTTTAGAAACTAAGCAAAAGCATGCCAAGCACGGAAAATCTATTTCTCGGCGTTTTATGTGGTTCCTGTCAGCCGTGTTCAACAATTAAATGACTGCATCTCACCGACAAAGTGGCGCCTAAAGATTTTAAAACTCTTACTTGGACCTGAGCGAACTGAAAACTCAGACGGTTCGTCCAATTCTTCATGTCGTCAAATGTTGACAAGAATTCAATTTTTTTTTTTTTCTAATTTACCTTTTAGTACCTCCGAAACTAATGTAGGTTGTTGAATCCGTGAGAATTACATCGTGACTCGGGTGGATTCCACAAGTGTTTCGGTGGACAAATGGGGTTTTCTTTAACTCAGTCTCCGCCTCCAAAACTTCTGGCCAACATCCTACTAAGGTATCAAATGTTAGTGGTAGGCTCAGAGTCGGTGACCCTCTCTCTTCATGCACAAGACACGCAATTATTTAGAACCCAGAAAAAACTGATGAATGTCTCAGCGAAGCATCGATAACAATCGCTTTCATTTTGCCGCCAAGTTTTGTCATGCAGTTGATTTCGGCCCCCTTGAGTTTCGCCTTTGACATGATATTGAAAACGAGTTTAATCAGCTGGAGAAAGTAGAGGCCACTTAGTGTAAAATTTAAAATATTGCCTTGAACTTATCTGGACTGTCACTATTAAAACCCCCTGTATACATTCCCAACATTTTTGTGACAATTTATTTACTTTTTTCTAAATGAGCTTTTGTGACCCTCAATTGCTGGAGCTTCGCAAAAGAAAATTCATTCTAGTTGGAACTGAGCAAAATAATAATGCCCAATTTCTTAGTAACTACTCCCTCATTTCTT